GAACCAAAACTAAACCTTGTAATTCCTGATTCCAATTTTCCAGAATCGGAACCGAACCCTAATGGAGCTAGTTCTAGTTCCAATTATACTCTTTACCCATGCTCACCCCTACCAATGAATGCGTAGGAGTAGAGGTACCTAATAGGGGTGTGTAAGACTACGAGCCAAGGTAGGGTTAAGTTTAGGGTTTCTTATTTTCATTTCTTGAACATTTTATATTCTTTAAAATCATTAATCATCATAATTAAAAAATTTTAGGACATTTACTCTTTTACCCTCCATTATATTAAAGCTAACTAAACTATATTAACGGTTGGGGTTTATAGTTAAAATCATACCACTTGGGACATACCAAAATTGGATAATTACTTTAAACAAAAAATATTATGTTTTAAGCTCAAGAAGTGAAAGCATCGAAAATCCTAAAACATTAAGATCATAGCATTTGGTTCAGGGAATTTTTTATTATTGAAAAGATAGGATTACCACTTAGATAAATTATCTTGAAGATTAATGGGGAATGTTATATTAATATGCTTTGTTAGATTGGTGAGTATAAATAATTAATATGTTTGGTTGGGACCAATAAAATATTATCAGAGGGGTTTTTACTGAATTGCCCTTCATTTTTAATAAAATTATTATATTATTATTTAGAGTATTACTTTTAACTCCCTACATTTGAGAATTTAGCTAAAACACCCTAACAACAAAAGTTTGAAACTTAACAAATACCTTTAACCACCCAAGATGATTGTTGGCTGCTAGCCACCAGCCACTACTCATAGTCGTTGGAATGGTGCACGCTTAGTAGGATCTAGTCAGTCGTGTGTCGATTCTGATTATTAACGGCCATGGATTTGGCCAGAAACGGCAAGATTTATTCTGGTTGCCATGGCTAGATCCATTCTAGCCAGAAATGGCAAAACTATTTTGGCCGTTAATGACCGTGGATCTGGCTAGATTTATTCTTGCCATTAATGGCCAGATCTATAGTCTTTTACAACCATAGATCTACCTGGAAATAGCCAGAATAGATGTGACCATGTCCAACTAAATCCACAACCATTTGGCCAGAATAGATGTGGCCATTTCCAACTAGATCCACAACCATTTGGCCATTTCAGGCCTTCGATTTGGTCAAAAGTGGCCAGATCAACACACGGCTGGCCAAATCCAGTTGTTCGTGCACCGTTTCGACGATGTTGGTGGCAATCGATAGTCGGCAGTCGTCTTGGGTGGCTAGGGGTATTTTGGGTATTATTCATGTTGAAACTTTTAATCATTTACCAAGTGGATTAAGCCTAGGCGAAATGGATTGCTAAGTTGATTTTAGTGTTCACTCATCATCATTACAAATCAGTTAGTCATGAAACAAAATAAAGCACATCAAGGGATTCTAAATGGTTCGGCAAAATGCCTACATCCATGGACCAAGTCTAGATGAAGCTAATCTACTATGGTAGACCTTTATAGTTCAATTACAAAGCCAAAGTTAAGCCTCAATTGCAAGAACACACCCTGTTTTGCAACTCTTCAAACTCAACCCTTTGGTCGAACTTCGAACTAACACAACAAGCTTCACATTCACAAGACCACTAGGTCAGCCTTGAGAACCTCTCAAGGATCAATCACCAAAGACACACTCTAGTTGAATCAGCTTGAAAAAGCTTCAAGCAACAAATACATAACCAATGTAGAAGCAAGGACAAAAACAAAGTATTTGATGAAGGTATTTGTAAGCCTACCTAAGTATATGAAACCTGATGTAAAATAAAATAAACCTTTTAGAATATGCATCGTACTTTCAAAGGAATTATTAGGCTTAAAACGAAATTGCATTCGAGAAGAGAATATATAGAAAATATCTGGCCAATGCAAGAGGACAGGTAGCCAACAAGATGCTTTATGGTTTTACCTTTATGAAAAAGTTTATTCCAATTCTCTTAGGACCACCAAAATTGTAAACAAACTTTCCAGCATATTTCATGAATAAATGACAAATGTTGTGGACCACAAACAATATCTTAAAAGAGAATAAAAAATAAGTCAATGGAATATTGAAATGCAATCCGTGTTATACAGAAATATCTCTCAGATGCGTGTGACCACTTAGACTCTGAAGTGCTCATACGATATAATAGAAAATCACTTCGACAGAGAGTCGTCACGTTGGAAATTTAAACAAAAATGATTACGATATATTCAAAGTGAAGTGTTTATACCATGACTAGTGTTACCACACCAAAATCATAAGTTGACAAATAACTTACACATGTAAATAGTAAGGGTAGTTCTATCAAAAAAAATTAATATATGAGGTTACAAAAGTCATTTCGTAGATTTGAGTTAATTGTTATTTAGTAGACATATGAGGACATTTGTGTCCAAAATATTTATTAATTAAGGGTAAAATTGGTATGAACCATGTATTACCCTGGTAATAAAAAAATAACACCCTTTCAAACAATAATCGAATTACCTCTTCTATTACCTATAATAATTATTATTGGTATTAGTCGATTACTAGAATCTTTAATTATTTGACACCCAAAAGCGGTAATTATTAGATTAAAAGATAGATTATCGATGTTATCTTTTATGATTTCAAACCAAACGCTACGTAAGGAATAATTTCTTCTATGAATGAAAGTTTAGATTTCTTCATTAATACATTACAAGGGTCAAGTCTTTACGCAAGATAGAAGTTTCCTAACAAGGACTAAGTTAAGAGTCTTTGTAGTGGGTTTGGCCGAACTATATCATAGTGACCCTTGACTTTATTCGGTTCCTAAGTTTTGATAACGTAATCAAGGCATTAAGGGGTTGAAGTGTAAATTAAACTTGGAAAAATAAGGGGGCCGCAACCAAGTCAAAGTTGGCGACCAAGTCAACGTTTATTTTATTTTATTTTATTTTGAGGAGTTGGAAATTTCATAGTGGGTTTGGCCGAACTATATCATAGTGACCCTTGACTTTAGTCGGTTCCTAAGTTTTGATAACGTAGTCAAGGCATTAAGGGGTTGAAGTGTAAATTAAACTTGGAAAAATAAGGGGCACGCGACCAAGTCAAGTTGGCGACCAAGTCAAAGTTTATTTTATTTTATTTTATTTTGAGGAGTTGGAAATTTCATTAAACATCCTCTACGTGGAATATATCGTAACTGGTCCTATATGATTAGGCCTACATAAAGACCTTGACCTTCTAGTATTTTAGAATTTAAAGAACCCATAGAAACAACTGAAAATAATATACATATTTATTTACATGAAGAAGATAAAAGTTTATTAAATAGCCCCTAATTTTCTCTTAAATTAAAAAGTAGTCACTTGTTACAAGTCTTGCACTCCATAGCCCTCTTCTAATTTACGGGACAAAATTGCCATTATATGCTTAAGCTTAAACACAACACATTAACAATGCCTGACATTGCCTGAATATCGGGATTGGGGCACTGTCGCCTTTAACTTTTAACCCTAATGTTGACCAGATTTGTAAGGCAAAAAATGCTCGACACCATTCGATATCAACCGAATATTAGAAGTTGGGCACTGTTGTCCTCAACCTCTAATTCCAAATCACTCGATTTGCATGAATGATTGCACAAACACGCAATACAAATGTGAAAACCCAAACTTTGAACCCTTAAATTGGTACCAAATCCAAAAACGTAACATCCAACTATAATTAAAAACTATTCAAGGCTAAATTACAATATTTAAAACATAACTCATACCTAAAATTACAATATTTAAAACATAACACATACCTAAACTATCTCATATGTTAAAAAAACCTATATTTTATTGTTCATAGTAAATGAAAGAATGAGATTTATGTCTTTAATTTAATGGTGAATGGTGATGATTGATTGATTTTTTTTATTGATGTGTGTGGAGAGGTGATGGTTAGAGACAAGGGTTGTTTGGATAGATGAATAAGAGGTGAAGAAGTTGGGCTATATATATTTGTAAAATCGCCAATAAATAGAAAGAGGGTTGTAGAGTTTAAGACAGTTAAAATAGGCTATTTTTTTAATTTATGGAAATAGGACAATTTATAATAATCGCCCAAAAATTGATATATTTAATTTATTAATTAAATTTTCAGAATTTCCTTGGACCTGAGGTGGTGATGGCCCCAGCAATAATTTTCCTTGGACCTGAGGTCGCCGCAACCAAGTCAAAGTCGGTGACTAAGTCAAAGTTTTTTGGGTCCCCATGTAGAATATATGGTAACTAGTCTTAAATGGTTAGGCCTACACAAAGACCCTAAGCTTCGTTTCTCATTTAAAGGACTCATAGATTTGACATACAAATTTCTGTATGCAAGTTAATTTAATATACTAAAGATGTATATATTTTAGTAAATTAAAAAGGCTTGATAATAATTCAATGTCCTAGGATTCATGATCTAAATAAGATATTTGTGTATAAGAGCTTATTTATAAAGTTCGTTTACGCATATTAATCTAAAGTTTTTCATAATTGTTGATGTGAAAATCTCACATCAGTTAGGAGACGAGAGTCTCAGTCGCTTATATAACACAATGACACCCTTACCACACAGAGGTATTTTTTCTGGATAAAATCATGCGAATCTAAGGGCTCAAAGCAGACAACACTTCTAAGAACCTACTTACCATGTATCTGGATCCGACATGCATCAACAATAAGTAATAAGCAATAAACTTATTATATATATATTAACAAAACAATTTCCAAATTAGTCATTTAGAAAAAATAAGTTAAACATCATTTTCTGCTTCTCTTAATTGGTTACCCCACCAAGTGGAATTTTGTACGACCCCTTCCCAGCAAGCAGCGAGGTTACCATCATCTTTTGGACTTTGATTGGATTTCGTGTGCAAGGGTTGAAGTTTTTATCACCTACCAACTAATATCCGCAACAAATTTAACAGAGCTTTTATGTGCATGTATAAATGTAACATTGAAGAGGTTATCGATAACAAGTTGGGCTACATTAAGTAGCTTTAAAAATGGTGCCCAAGATTCTCATGATATGTTTTTTCTATATTTTCCTTTCTATACAATTGCGCCCTTCAATAGCGCAAACCAATTGGATCAGGGTTGGTCATTACCCCTATTCATCAGAATATGGAAGCCCCATTTCGGAGATTAATTTCTCTCTTTTCACTCACCTTATATGTGCTTCTGCTGCCGTGAATTCTACCTCCTACCAACTCTCTTTATCATCCTATGATGAAGAACATTTCTCTACCTTCACACATACCACAAAACAAAAGAACCCATCAGTCACTACACTGCTATCTGTTTTTGACTATGGTACAGCCTTTTCTCCAATGGTAAGCAATTCTTCAAACAGAAAAACCTTCATCGATTCCTCAATAAAAATTGCCAGACGTTATGGTTTTGAAGGCCTACACTTCCATTGGGAATTTCCACAAACAAGCCTGGATATGTTCAATATGGGTGTTCTCTTTAAAGAGTGGAAAGCTGCTATTGATTTAGAGGCAACAAACTCTAGCCAGTCGCAACTGATCTTGACCGCGAAGGTTTATCATACACCAAAGCTTTATGAAACAAGTTACCCCATAGAGGCGATACAACAACATTTGAATTGGGTTCATCTTCATGTGGATTACATGTACAATGATGATAGCTGGCGCTCCCGTACGAGCACTTTTGCATCTCTGTATGACCCAACTAATTTTGATAATGCGGATACCGGCATAATGGAATGGATTGATGGAGGATTATCAGCTAATAAATTGGTTTTCACTTTACCTTTTTATGGATTTCAATGGACGCTGGACAACCCTATGCACAATGGTTTTGGTGCTCCAGCACAAAGAGTTATCCTTAATACAGAGAATGGAGTTGCAAGGTATAAGGAAATAAAGACCTACATTGAGCAATATGGTGCTGAAGTTCCTGTTAGGTACAACTCAACTTATGTGGTGAATTACTGGACAAAGGGAACAACTTGGTACATCTTTAATGACGTTGAGGCCATTAGAAATAAGATTTCTTATGCCAAGGGAAACAAGCTACTTGGCTACCTTGCGTGGGAAATCTCCGATGATTATAATTGGGTGCTTTCCAAAACTGCAGGTAAGCTACGACTAAACTGAACAAGTACTTCATGAATTAGGAATTTTGCGTCATCTGTATTTACCATATTGATTATTTTTCCAGCTGAAGTGGACATGAATGATTCTTCAGTTCAGCAGGGTAATAAAAAGGGACAAAATAAGAAGAGGACTTTCGTAGTAATCCTTTTGTCTACAACAGCTGCTTTTGCTCTTCTATTAGGAATATTTGTGAAATTTTACTGCTGGAGGAGAAATCTCAAATTCATCAAAGGTCAGTTTCTCAAATTCCCTAATTTTATTTACGGTGAATGAATAAGTAAGCAGTTTCATTTTATATATATATATTTTTTTGACAGGGACGGTGAACTCTACTAAAGAATCCAATGATAAAGCAAATAAAGTAGCATCCGCAGGAGATTTTAATACCAACATTCTTAATCTGACAGAATACACACTGGGTGATATAGAGGCAGCAACCAATGGATTTTCAATTGAAAATAAGCTTGGACAGGGTGGATATGGCCCTGTTTACAAGGTTATACCTTTGATAATGTTATTTATCATTAACCTGTTCAGTCTTTAGTTTAATATATTTTGCCTGTCTACAGTATTATCAGAATTAGCTTTGTCTACTCAAAGGTACCAACCAACTAGAGTGTGATTTGCTAGGGAACACTACCAGACGGACAGGTAATAGCATTGAAGAAACTCTCAAAAACATCCACACAAGGATTTGAGGAATTCAAGAATGAGGTTACGCTTACTGCAAAGCTCCAACATGTGAATCTTGTTCAAGTCCTGGGTTTTTGTTTAGATAAAGAAGAACAGATACTCGTCTACCCATACATGCAAAACAAGAGCTTAGACACTTATATTTTCGGTTAGAATTTTATGTTCAATTTTTTTACATCGACTTGCAATTTTTCTCGTTTTGTATTAATTAGCTTGTAGTGGTTACGTTATTGATGATAAATAATTTATGATTAATTTGATGTAGACCCTATTAGACGGTTAAATTTGGATTGGAAAAAACGTGTGCATATCATTGAAGGAGTAACTCAAGGGCTTTTATATCTCCAAGAATACTCAAGGTTGACTATTATTCACCGAGATTTAAAAGTTAGCAATGTCTTATTAGATGGAGAAATGAAACCCAAGATATCCGATTTTGGCATGGCTAGAATGTTTGCAAAAGATGATTTCGACGAAGCAAACACAAGTCGAATTGTTGGAACAACGTAAGTGTATTTGCTCTTAATATTTTATTACTGTCAACTTTTTACTTCTTTTACAAATATATTAGTAAGTTATATCCCCCCTGAGTACATTCATTGTTGTAATAATTCATTTCAGTGGTTATATCCCCCCTGAGTACATTCATTGTTGTAATAATTCATTTCAGTGGTTATATCCCCCCTGAGTACATTCACAAAGGCATATATTCAACTAAATTGGACATTTATAGTTTTGGGATTCTACTTTTGCAAATCATTAGCGGCAAAAAGATTTCCCTTTTATATGGTCCGAATGAAAATCTAAGTCTTCCTGACTATGTAAGTTTGTTTTTTTTTTTTTTTTAATAATTCATTTTAAGGATATGTGCATTTGAATACGCTTGATAATTCCAAATATTTGAATATTTCAGGCATATGAGTTGTGGTATGGTGGTAAAGGTATGGAGTTTATGGATGAATCATTAGATGATACACATTTGTCTTTTAAATTAATAAGATGCTTACAAATAGCTCTCTTATGCATCCAAGAAAATCCAGATGATCGACCATCCATGTTAGAAGTTTTTGTGATGCTCAAAAGTGAAAACACAAATATCATGATTCCGAAGAAGCCTGCTTTCTCGAAACAAAATGAACAATGTAAATCTACTATGCAGTTGGAAGGTTATTCAGGGAGCACTTCATCAATTAATGATGTAAGAGCTTTAGATGTGTGAGCTAAATTAATTATATAATGTAGCTTTTGTGATCACCACCAAGTTCAGTAACTTTTGATGCTGTAGAAAAAAAAAAAAAATTAAAGTTTGTGTATTAGGTGTGTACACAATAAAAATATTTGTATCATTAAGAGTTTAGATTTTGTATTGAATTACAGATGATGAAATTTATAGGCTTCAAATGGATCAATAATTTGTTAATCTCATGTGTGAATATTTTTTTCAAACTCATCTACGCACAAAATGTCCTAATCTTGTTTTTTTTTTTTTTTTTTTTTTTTTTTTTTTTTTTAATGATATTGAGAAAAGAAGAGTTGAAGAGGAATTTCTCCAAACCATCCTGTATTAATCAATGCTATTATTTGTAGAAATGACACAGCTATAACAGTTTGCAGTTTCAGTCTCAAAGAATGAAAGTATGAAGTCCTGAAACAGTAAGATAAAGAATGAAGTAAACATAAATCAAAATCCTAAATCAAATAAACACACATAAAACATTTCTTTAATCCAAAGATTCTCAACCCAAACGCTACCAGTAAGTCCACAATAGCATAACACCATTACCTCAACCATTTTCCAATATCCATCACCAATTTACCCATTTGACGCACCTTCAACCGAAAAAGCTTTGGCCTAAGTTAATGTTAGAGTTGTCGACCACTTCAACAATAAGGATCCATGCAAATGGTTTGGGCTTATCTTATGCAGAGCCGCTATGAGATTTCTCTATGTAATTAAACTCCTATTTGGGTTTGGGCTTAGAAATAGAAATCCAAGTAATACTAGGTTTTTCTCATTAAACTAGTTGTAGATGCAAAAAATCTATCTTTACAATAGGGACTAATCCCGTGAGGTTGAGACCACTAGCAGTTTGCTATACCTACACACACAAGAAAACAAGCGTGAAGCGAACGGAAAACACCATGGTGGTGTTTGCCATAGGCACTCCAATGCTCAAGTTAGCAAGGCTGAGTGAGGCTAATTTAGTGAGAGTTAGGGAAGGAGAAGATTACCAGAAGTCTAGTTGGAGACTATAACTATGACTGTGATGCGAAGTTCTCAAGAGTGGGAACTGCGGGGTCTGAAGGTGTAATGTTTGTGTCCTTGTGAGGGATTGGCTCCTGTTTAAATAGTGACTGTAGGATCTTCAAATCCTGGTAGGACTGAGAGTCCTTGGAGTTGAGGTTTTGTAAAGAGGAGAACATTTGGCTCCCTTACCTTAGTGGGAAAGGGAGGCCCCATGAGTCTAAGACATTGATCTTTGATGAATTAGGGTAATGATGGACCTTTTCGATAGAGTTAAGATAGTATCGAGGTAGTAGGTGACCCTAGGCTCCAAATAGATCCTACGTCCAGAAGGTAGTCTAGCATCAGAGTGCCTAGGCCTAGATGAATTGGCGGTAAGGCCTAAATGAATCAGGCCTCTGGTGATTAGGTCCAAATGGTGAGCAACTAGGTAGGTGTTCCAAATGGACCTGCTATGCAAACTCCGTTACAAGCCCAATTAGAATTAGGCCCTCACTTTGAGCTTTGTTGAAGGTGTCTTCATCTTTGGGCATGTTCAGGCCAATGACTTTTTTTGGCCCTAACAATTTGCCTCCCCACTCTCTAAGTTAAGGAGTGCTTAGCTTAGAGAGTAAACGTTGTGTGGAGGTATACGTAGTCGACCTTCGCGATCGATCGGTTGAGCATGTGAACATGTTGCTGCTCTGTTTGCAAAATGAACAGTATAAATTTTGTTGTAAGTGATGCATTCGGTACACCAGGCTGAGTGGGTGGAGGTGAAACATCATCATGCTTTCACTCGGCGTATCTGATCGAGTACGGAAGTGGAGTTGACCTTGATAGACTCGCCCGGTGCATCAGATTGAGGCGAAGCATGAAAGAATCTACTTGAGGTATCCTTACTCAATATGTCGCACTCGATGGTAAGATACACAAAATGTCCCATGAAGGTGTGAGTGGGTGTACGAGCTATCCCATGAAGGTGTCCTTACACGGTGTAACGAGCCGAGTCAAAGGGTGTGCAAGCTATCCCATAAAGGTATGCTCACTCAGTATTTCAAGCCAAGTGGAATACGTTAGGGTCAATCTAGTGGTGGTGCCTTAGGCTGATTAATTGAATTCAAATTAATAGGTGTATGTGCCCTCCCAATCAAGGGGCTAGTTCACTCGGTCGGGATGACCGAGAGGGCGAAGGTCGTGTTTCACTTTAGCTGTGTTTGTCATGAGGCTGGAGAGTCGAGGTTGGACGGTCAGTATGTTCGGTGCCAACTTCACTCGATCGAGCAAACTGAGCAAGTGGTTAATGTGAAAGAGTAATGTGAAGCTAGATAATCCATCTCTCGATACTTGTACAACCGAGATGTCTTCTGAATTTGGGCGGGAGAGCAAAATCACATGATTCGATGACCAATCGTAGGTTGCCACACATAGGCTTTAACATCTTTCATCAATAAATGCATGGGGGTGGCAGTTTGTTTCATCTTATTTCCCATTTCTCTCTTCTGTTTTTGTGTTTTCTCTGTGTTTTAGTCTTTCTTTGCAACTGTGAAAGATTTTGGGAACTTTGGCCATTTTTATGGCACTTGCTCCTTTGTACTCTTTACAGTTTCCTTTCTTCTTTTCTTTGTTTTTGCAGCATTTTTGGAGAGATTTGAGAAGAGTATAATAGATTTTTAGGGGAGTTTGAAAAGGTGGCATTGCATTTGTTTGGGTTACACGGAGTAGGCAAACTGAGTGATTTTGAATCTTAGGTTTAGCTTTGGGAGATTTTGGGTGTTTAGGATTGATTTGGTGTGGCCTATGTGTGGAGATTATGGGTTTTCAGTGCTTTCTGGATTTTTTTGGGTTTCCTAGGTTTTAGAAGATGAAATAGTTTTACATTGGTTCCCCACTTGGCTTGTCTCGATTTCTTGACCAGGTCGAGTGCGATGCTTTGAGCGAAGGATCATGGTTTTTAATAGGGGCTAGTTACTTGGGTTACCCGGTCTTTCAGACCAAGTGGTAAGGGATCTGCATGAGTGGTCCTGAGGAAGCAGCTATTTAACCACCCAGACCGAGCTGAAAGTTACTTAGGGGTCAAACAGTTAGACTGATTTGAGAACCAGTCGGTTGGTAGCTCTAGGCAAGTGGGGTTGTTTGGGTTGAGTGGACAAAAAGTTCGATGTCACGGTCAAAGTCAAGCGATGCGGAGACGAAAGTTGGGAATGAGTATGAGAGAATGCTCCAATGATGGTGACAATACTAGAAGGTGAGGGCGTTTCGGTCGGTATACCGAAGGTGAACGTGGCTGCCCCTAGGTTGAGTGGTACCACCCTAGTGATGGTAATGGTGATGGTGAGTTTGGGTTGTTGATGGCTCTAGAGGACCTCTGTGTACAGAATCAGGTGATGTTTGGGTTGCATAAGTTGTTATACTCGTATTTCCTAAAGGAAAATGGCAAGGATAAAGGTCGATATCTGATCAACCTCAGGCATGATCAGGCTCACCTTGTGATCGACCGACATCTGATCAAGTGATAAAAATTTGAAGGAACATTTCTTTTTCATGAAGGGTGGAGCAATCTTTGGGGAGAGAAGCCAGGGCGAGATTTCGTATACTTGGCGATCGATTGGTGAGAAACTTTGTCTTTACCCATGCTTTGATTACTAAAGTCTTATTGTGTTTTCTCTTTGCATATCTTGAATTCAACCGTGCCAGATAGAGTGGGGATGGCTTAGACGTGCGTACCCAAAAGATTCTTGCTATTCCAAAAGCGTAGTGGGATTGGCAGGTCATGTTGGAGCAGACAAACCTGAGGACTTTGGGCCGGAGTTGGTGTGATTAAGTGAGGACTTCGCTGAAGCAAACTTGGAGTGTGCTGCTCATCCGTCACTACAATCATATTTTGTCGGGTAAGTCAAGGCTAAACACACTAACTATTTAGGAATTTACGATTGCAGAGAAGTTTATGAAGAAGTTGACCGCCTTAAGTACGAGTAAGTCTATCACGAGATGTCACGAGAAGCGAAAGAAGGATTCTTCAACCAGAGAGGAGAGAAAAGTGGAGGATGTGGTTGTGAATCCACTAGGTCGAAAACTTGCGACTGGGGCTAGGTCATCCAAGACCGTGGTCTTTGATGAGGAGACTAAGATGCTTACTTTCATTCCCGGCTTCTGCGTCGACCTATTTGGACACAACTTCCATGAGCAAGCTGGCCAATTCGTTCCTGTTTCTAGCGAAAGACAGTCGCTTGAGCCAGATGGGTGCGGTTGTGGTTGCTGACTGGGGAGTTTCCTGTGCTTTCCAAGTATGAGCCAGATTTTTTTCTTACTGTATTTATAGTGATTGTATACTGATCAAGTCGTTTTTTGTAATGTAAGCTTTCACAAGCAAGCTGTACATTAGGAAATCCATCATGTCGCAAGAGAAGAGGATATAAGATGTATAGAATCCAATGCCAACCTGCGACACAAAAAGGCAGTGACCTAGAAAGTTGAGCGATATAGCCAGCAACGACTAAGGGTGGTCGAGGCTGAGCTGGAACGATTGAAGAAGGAGCTAGCAGAGAAGAACATAGAGGTTGAGTCTTTGAGGGAGCAGTGCCTCAGTATTCCTGATGATGCCGTCATCATGGCTAGGGAAGAGTTGATGCTAAAGTACAAGGCCGGGATCACCTCTCATTGGAACCCGGATAAGGACATCCAACTCTTGCGGGAGATGGAAGAGGAGGAGGTTGTTGGTTATGTAGATTATGCAGAGAAGCGGGTCAGTGACCAGATATTTGACTTGCTAGTCAGTCGGGGTTATCAATTACGGATAGGGGTGTTCAAAAGAACTGATTGGAATCGGAACCAGTGGGTACCCAAGTTTGGTTCTGGTTCCTATCTAGGATCGGTCATCAACGGGTGGGTTCCGATTCCAAATTTTTGGAATTGTTACTGTGCGGTTTCGATTCTGGTTCTTATAGTTAGGAACCAGAATTGGAACTGAGAATCGAGACTAATATAAAATAGAA